AATAAACAGCTCTGAATGCAGTAGTTCATATGAGCGTATGCATTTAATTTTTGAAATTAAAGATTCACGTTATTTATAAGATTTATATGGATTGGATACTTGATCTTGGCGTTAAAAATTACTACAACCATTTATTCTTTTTTATAATTCCATACATGAATCCCGGATATGAAATTCTAGACTTTCTACTATCTTATTTTCCTGTTTTATTATATTTTATTATTATATTTAGAAAAAATATTTCAATGGCTATTCTCACAAAAGCTACTATAACCATGTCAGTTTGGTGAGATGGCTTGGTATAGGATTTCAATTCCAGATCTTCTCTGATATTCACGTTTTTATGCTTTATTCGCATTCTAAATATTTAGATGGAATTTTGTTAACATTTTAGCCATCTATACCCATACATAAACAATACCACAATACCATGTAACTGATATCCCTTAACTGTTTATATTCTAGAGACTTCTTAAATGTCGTTATGCCTTCACCCAGTAATCCATAGTAACATAATAAGTAAGCTGTCTGTTATTTACTTTAATAGTAAAATGGATCTTAATGTATTTAATATAACCCTAAAATACTATATACTATAACTAGGAATGATTAAAGATTAGGAATACATATCACAAAAAAATCATATTTTTACTTAATTACAGTTACTTAAAGGTAAAAATGTATCCACATATATCAGTTTTAATTTGACGAGTTATTGAATGAAAATTTTGACATCGTTAGTTTAAACCAGGCTTTATGAAGCCCCTATTCGTTCCAATTCAAAGTCTCAATAGAGGGCGAGTAATTTACCGAATAAAAATTAGGTTTAATACCTTTGACTAACGATAATAATTTTAATGATACCTGCTTTTGAATAAGTATTCTGTAACAAATATTTATATACCTTTTAAAGTTACTTGTATTATTGACAATATACTGCTGCCTTCTGGAAGTTAGTAATTTTATTTCAAAATCAGTACATACCTTCTTAAACTATTTAAAATTATATCCTGTAACTATGATACGTCTATATATCTATGTATATAGACGTATCATAGGTACTAAAATTATAGCAGTACAAAATCTGTATATTAAAATAAAAAACGACCTACATGTAGTATACATTATATTACATGTAGGTCTATAGTTTTTTTTCGGACTACTCTAATAATGTTGGCCGCAGCCGGCCGTTACAACTTCACCAGACTATAGGGGGAGACTGCAGATGGCACTCGAAACCCGCGGAAGGACTTATGGAGCGGCTGAAGCCCAACTCTCGCCTGGCAGTTACGACTTTAGTCTGAGGGCACCGCTAGGGTTTCGAACCTCGTCTCACACCGCCGTAATGTCGATCCCCGTTTGAATTAGATGGGAGATCGATCGAAGCTTTTGTTCCGACTTCACTTGCTCTAATATATGTACTATAGACCCCCCTATAGTACATATATTAGAGCAAGTAAAGTCGGAACAAAAGCTTATGTTCTTATTATTTTTTATGACTAAGTGTACAAATATCATACAAAAACTACTGCTATGAATTGAAAGCTATTTCAGAAATGTATTGTCAAGTTTAATATGTAGGTTTCATTTTTTCGTATTCCGTTCGAAGTCGCTAGTGAACACATAAACGAAAAAATGTAGCAGAAATAACGGAATAACTGCCGAGTGGTGCGAAAAGTTAGAATTGAGGGTATCACAGTTTAGAAAAAGTCAATTGGTCTTTTATGGGAATGAGTATGAAAATATACAATAAATTACCAAAAAATGTATTATAACTACCTTTAAATAAATTTAAAAGATCTGTTAAATCATATTTAATGTCTCATTAAAAGATTACCTAAATTATAAACGTGCAATAGTTGTCCATGCACGGGATGTTCATTTAATCATAGACATAAACACCGATATAGGTCAAAATTAAAAAAAAACTAGCTTTTAAAAGATTTAAAATCTGTTGTTTTAACTGCCAATTCTTTTCAATTAAATCTGTACACTGAACTGAACGGAAAAGCAACACATAAATTTATCAGTCGTCAAGGATTTCTCTTTATCTAAAACTCACATTGCAATTTCCTAAACATGTAAAACTCTCTTTTATTACAAAAAAAACTTAGGTAAGTATTGCTTAGTTAGGTAATGAATTTAATATTCTCCCCATACGCACCCCTCAGGCCCAAAGCATTCTGTTCGCTTCGGCTATTGTTATGCCACTTGCCCCTAATAACGGGTTAAAGATGCGCAAAGCCGTAATAAACTGCTAGTGTATCAATATAGTACGTACATTGGAACTACGAGTATATTTCAAGAAATTAAAGGCCAGTAATTAGCAATCAATTCTTTTAACGCAATTACATGCATCTTATAAAAGGTAATTAGGCTCAACACGGAGTATAAGTCCATCTTAACCAACAAGTTTAATTATACGAATCACTTAATTAATGAAGTAAAGAAGTTTTGAATGGATTTATCGTTGGAATGCTTATATGTATGGTATATTATTGGGAGCTGTGTAATGTAAATTTATATTTAAAAGTATCTACTACACTCCGGTGCATGAATGCTTGTATCCAATACGTTACTTATACACATACCTACCTATATTTGTTAATTGGTAAATATATTTTGATTATATAAACATTGTAATTATAAAAACAACTATAAATATAATTCCTACGAATATGTGTGAAGATGTATGTATGTAACATATCAGTTAGTCTTTCAGAATTACTAGTCGGATTCGAACAAGGTTTTGTACCTACATAGATTTTAGATTAAGACATAGGATACTTTTGCCCGAGTTACTCGCTGAAAGCGCCGCTGGGTATAATTTAATAACAACTATATTTTTTACGGAGATATGTAGCGCCAATAAACTTATATCGTAGTCTACTTTTTTATATAGCACAGGGGACAAACGAGCTTGCGTCTCACCTGATGGTAAGTGATTACCGCCGCCCATGAGCACACGCAACACTAGGAGAATTGCAAGTGCGTTGCCGGCCTTTTTATTTTTTATATGATACGTGTACCATACCTATAGCTGTGTTAACTATTTTTAAGATTTATTTATTAGAAAACATAGAATATATATCTAGCTATTAGCAACTATATCAAATAAATATATTTAAGTACCTATAGAACCTGACTTAGTAGAGTAAATATTATCATAACTGAAATTATGGATTTTCATGGTTTTTGATTTGGTATTTAAAATTACAATTACACATACTAAATATCTACCTATTAAAAATGCGTAAATGAATTTATCTGTCTATCTGTTATCTTTTTAAGACTAAGCGGCTAAACATATTTTAATGAAATTTTATATAAAGACAGATTGCGAATATTTAAAATAAATCTCACTTTGCAGAGTTTACAGTTTATTAAAAAAATCATAATTATATCATAATATTCCCACAAAACTCTTTCTATGTCATATGTATTATTATTTATATTTATTTAATATTATTATTTGCAGTCTTCCTGATATTTTATGTAAATCCTATAATAGAGTGAGAGAGTCTTCATGAATTTGTTTATTTTTAGTCAATGTTTATTTTTGTAGAAGTGTACCTAGTATCTACTAAAAATTTCAGAGAATTGATTACCTTTTCCTTACTCCTGTATTTATTTAGAGACAAAACGTTGAATTATATTTAACTTGTCGTGAATGAATGGACCTAAATAAATTTGAAATTAATTAAAGAAATAGGTCTGTTTATTTTGTTACGCCTTGTCATTTCTTAGTTTAAACAATGGTTGTATATAAATACTTAGAGTTGTACTATTGTAGGAACTATCAACTGTAAATAGATCCCTTCTATCAAAATATAGTATATCTATATAGTAGGTACGGTGAGTACTAAGTTCAGGTAAACTTCTTAACTTTCTAGTTATATTTCAAAACTTTTAGACTAGTTTTGCTCACTTTTAATGTTATGAAATTAGTTTTCTAGTGTCTACTCAGATTTAATAACAAAATTTTACTATTAAAGTTGTTTTGTTCACCAATAATAAAAAATGTTTGTACAATATAACTGTATTATTAAAGTTTTTTTGTTCGAATAAACAATATGTCGATTCAACAAGACTTTACTATTTCAGTTTTTTTATTCATACAAATAACTAATGTTGAAAAAGTACTTATACCTAATATAATTTAATAATGAGGTTTTTTTGTACCTACAAATAATTAAATTTTAGTCGCGCAAAATCTTACTATTTTTTTTATAGAGACATATCTATAAGTAAAGGTACATATAATTTAATATGTATAGATACTAACAACAATATTATAGTAATAATTTTTCTTTGTTCAGACAAACAATAATGTTTAAATAATAAAACATTACTGTTAATTTTATTTTTCATATAATTAATCAAAAAGAAATTGTTCAGATAAACAACAAAATTCCTATACCCACAACAAAACTTTAGTACTACGAAGTTTATTCTTCAAACAAGTTTATCTGTGAATAACTATTAGTAAAACGACATTTTTTAACTATAGGTAGAAAGATAGATATAGCTAAATTTCACGAGGAGACTTAAACAGGTAAAAGACTTCTTATGTTCTATCTTCAAATATTTCTTCATATTTACATTCAGTATTACTTAATACGTATCCTCTAAGAACCTTAAAATATTTGAAACCTAACATTGATCATGCTCCAATTATTCGTCATATGAATCATACTTATAAACTTTTCTCCACACATTATAACAACGAACATGAATAAGCAAGTAGTACCCAATAATAAATAACTACACAGCTACGTTACAACTGAAACGAAAACAATCAAACAACCCATTGAAAACAAAACTGAAACTAAACTAAACGAAGTTGAAATGAAATAAAAATAGAGTAACACAAATTCAGCATTAATCATTCATACCAAAATATAAAAATGTATTATACAACTTCTAATCAGGACTTATAACTCATACAACAGCCCTGAAGCGTACACTGGCACGTATAAATAGCATAATTCAAATTTTACCTCCTAAAAGTAAAAGCGCGAGATGGCAACGTCGCGTGGCCCGGTATTACGCTGTCAAACAGCTACAATACGGATTCAACTGTTTGATATTTTACACGGGACTGTTCAAATCGGCAGACATCTGAAGGGGCGAAGCGGCTACGCGACGTTGCCACGCCTATATTCACGGTCGCCAATCGGATGCAAGCATCTCCCGAGCACGCTTAGAGACCGAACCACTCATGGTACAGTCATCTCATTTTATTCTAAAATATCGTAGTTGCGCTGAGTGAGAAGGAGAAGCAAGTTTATGTTCGATATTTGAAAAATAATGCCCATTGAATAGAGATGTAACGGATCTAGCTAGCTAAACAATTTGGAACCAAAATTTCTTGGCTGTAAGTGTTAAATTGCTGAGCTGTTATTGAAAGTTGAATTGGTGTTTATTCATAGCGTTTTTGAAATTAATGTAAATACATCTTTGGCGATTTGTGGCAAAACATTGATTACTGGAGTCGAGACTTACGAAGGCGGTAATACCGGCCTACAAAAATATCTCTTTATTATTCCATAAATAGATTGCTTGAGTTGTGACTAGTAATTAATAGGTGATATAGGCAGCGTGTTAACCAAAACAACAGTTTACTTTACTCATAAAGTTTTGTTTGTTTTGAAGACTAACACTGAACTTTTATACTAAAGATAATGAGAATATATATATATATGTATAATAAAAAAAATCTTCTCAAGTAGGTAATTGTTGATTTGCATTTTTTTAACAATGTTACCATATATTTGAATTATAACAGAAATTTGAAATTTCGTTGTTTGAAACTGAACTCTATAACAATACGAATAAAGAATATTTTAACTTTTTTTAGATAGATGGCTACTAATTTATATGTTGGTAATAATTCCTATAGCTACCTTGACAACTATGTATAGGTTTAAACTACATAAAACACCTGGTTTTCGGAGAGCAATAAAATAGGCAGACAAACTAACCTAAATCTAACACAGCAAATTGACCTGGTCATATTTTTTACTTTTTCCTTTGTAAAGATTTTTCATGTAGATAGATATAGTAATAAAATTGCGATATATTCTAGGTTAATATCTAATACGTTTTAGGTAGGTACTGACAAATTATGGTAGATATACCTATAGCAAAAGGATATAAAGGCAAGGTATAAAACATATGAAATTATGTCATACCTATAACAGATCTTTACTTTTTAACCAACTTTAAAAAGAGTGATGTTCTAAAATTTTTTTTCATAGGTAATCTGCATATTTCAATGATTCATAATACAATTCGAAAGGGTATTGTTAGTAATGTGAACTGATGACCTCTTTGCTAGCAATGTATTAGGTTGACCTCCACGCGGCTCCCTCTGGAAACCATCGTGACGAAAATCTGATCCATTACTCAAGATGGGCTAGCTGGCCTAACCTCATGCTCGTTCTGCTGTCCTCCACCCGGTTTACCCAGAGCATACTATTGGGCAACACTAGTGCCCCACCAGCGTAAACCGTTAGAGGGCGAGTGCGCCTTTTATCATTCTTAAAAAACTTTACCATCATCACTTTAACAATTTATGCAGATTTAAACATGGTGCTTTACTGAGATAACCACAAAGCAGATTCCTATGTATTACCTACTTAGTTTCTTAGTTTCAAGGATTTAATTACAGGCTACGGTAATGAGTAAGTAAAATAATTACATTTACGACACCTTAGCGGCCAATAATAGCAACGCATATAACAAGCATTATGTTCACTATATCTATGCGATAACGTATAACGAATGTCTGAAAATAAACACCTACCTATCTTTATTAAATAAATTAAAAAAAACAAAAGAATTCGAATAACATCCGTAGACAGAGTGCGGGCAAGTCCCGTTAGTGTATAATGTTCTGAAGCCAATTGCTTGTAATATAGACTGTCCCATTCTAAGACAATGGGTGGGACAGGTGCCACGTTATGATTGTCTCTGATATCTTTACTAACATTTTTTTTTAATTAAATAAAACGTGATAATAAATTAATATAATTAAATTAGGTCGTTAGAATAGAAGAATAGAATAGAAAATCATTTATTCAAATAAACTTACATTGAAGCACTTTTGAATAGTCATTATTGTTTTGTCTGAAGCTTTCAAAGCAATATAAATAATAATAGATAATAAATAAAAAATAATCCTGGACAATTACAACAGCACCATTTAGTTCCACGGTAAGAAGAACTTGTGTTAGAAACTGACATGAATACTTTGATTTTTTTTGTAAACATAATGTATATAGATAACACCCAGACCGAAATAAGAATCATAGAAGTATACCTAATTGAATACAAATGTTTGCCAGTGCGAGGATTCGAACCCGCAACCATCAGAAGTAAAGCGGTGAACTAAATCGCTAGACCATCGAGGCCGTCATCATATATATATTAGGTCAGTAATTAATGTGTATTTATTATACGAAAAAGTACCTAATTTCTTTTAGTTCTATCTAAATAGAGCTAAATAATCTAGGATTATTATTAGATATTATATAGTTACCTAACCAATATTAGAGAAACTAAATTACTTTCACACTATTAATATTCATATTCCAGAATTTATCGCGGAAATTTCCTGAACAATTTCTAAAGAAAACTATTCTTGGGAGTTCGACGTGAGATTCACTGATGTAGTTACTTCAACTCCGTAAAACTTATTTTGATTGTATTCTAACAGCTTTTGGAGATCATTTTAGCCTAGTGGTTTACTATTCTAACTTATATTATTAGTTTAGTGATAGTAAAAAAATCTTGAACTGGCAGCACGTCAGAGATACGAAGTCTTAAGCTTTATCTCCCTTACTGTCATATCTGGGAAAATAATCTAGGAGCTACTGGTGTAAATTTTGTAGATATATATACATATATTGTAGGTATGTACATCTTATTATGATTATTAGGTACCTAAATTATATAACTAATATTATTATTTTATTTTATTATGGTAATTTGTATTAACACAAAATGACTTCTACGAATCTTGTCACTATATGTATTCTATAATACAATCGAAAAGAGTACGTAATATAGAACGGACATTAATTCGAAAAAAAAATATCTTAGTCTTCTAAGGTATTTTTTTTAAATACTGGTGTATTTGTAGTTAAGTCTATTTGAATAAAGATTGTATTGTTAATTACTTTATTTCATTATAAGCAATGTTCAGCATACTAGTTCAAGTAACTCGTTTGCTAGTAGTAAGGGTATATTAAAATCATCAGATAGCCTACGCATCCGACAACGGCCCAGTTTTGATGATCTTAAATTAATTAAAACTTATCATGCCTTCAATCTTTCATCACTCATTCACAAGATATATCTGAAGCAGCGGTGTGTAACATCTTACACATTAAATCCGTTTTTGTTTTGTAATTAATATAATAAGCATTTCACACGTACTAATAAATTATACAGGATGTTACTCAGTGCTCTATTATTCAGACCTATATAAATATTCTTCTGCTTATTCGATACACTCTTGTCAGAACGGTCGTGGTCATTATGTAGTAGAGTGAGAGGCAGATGTCATACTTATGACAGCTCGCCATTTCTCCTTACCGTCTGCCATTCTGGTACACTCGTGGAGAGGAATGTCTACCGCTGCTTTGACTTGGTCAGTCTATCGCATGAGTGATCGTCCACGAGATCTAGTACCGTCAATCCTGCCCTGTATGACAAGCCGCTCTATGGTTAAGTTGAGGATTGTTTCTACGCGAGACGTGACCAAAGAAGGTAAGGATGCGCGATTGTTTTAATGTAGATAAACTCTGCTTGATGCCGAGTTCTTCGAGAATAGAATGAACTGCTAATATTTATATTCGCAGTTCGAATATTGTTGGCACCAAACTCCGTATGTCCATTTAAAATATAAGCTATGTAGTATAAATCTCCCGAACATGAACGAATTGTTAATGTAGGTGATTAATATAAAACTGCATTTCCAGATAAATGAAATCTTAGTTACATAAACAGTGGACACTGTTCTAGCCAAATAATATTTGGGTTAATTATCTCGGCCTAGTCACCAAATGATATTTTGATTTATAATCTCGGCCTCTGCTGTTAGCACCTTACTCGTAGCACACCGCTTTACTTCTGATGGTCGCGGGTTCAATTTCTCATACGGTTCAAACATTTGTATTCAGAGGTATAATTGTTCGTATCGGTCTGGATATATTCTATATATATTATGTATGTATTTATTAAACAAAATATGTTTATTTATATCACTTGTCTAATATCCATAACACAAGCTCTGCTCACCATGGGACTAGATGGCGCTGTGTTAATTGTCTAAGGTTATTTATTTATTATTTCTTAATAAAACTTGTCCATTATTAAAAAATATATATTGTCCATAGACTTTGGTTATTTGGTTTTGTGATATGTTTTGGGGTGCTAATTTTGGTTGGAACTAAAAAATATTAAAATTTGAAAGATACGCTGATTTTTTTCGCAATACTAAGATGGAATTAGCATATGTACATGGGTGTTTTTTTTAATGGATGATAATGAAATGATACTCCGGTCTGGGCTAACGATTTACACTGACAGGGTACTGGTGGACAAAATGTATCCAGTTAGCATTGCCATGTATCATGGCAAATGGCAAGTTCATCAGGAATTCGTCTCAATAGTTTCCAGAACACCGCGTGGAGGGCAAATGTTCTATTGAAGGATACATTGGGTAGGGAATCTAAGTCCACATTACTAACAATCCCCTTACTCCTACACTGGTGTTGATAATATGTAAAATTTAAACTTTATAATTATATATAATATTGCATCGTAATTATCATATTTCATCATTATATCAAAATCTATGAAATGAAATGAAATTGTAGTGCATAAAATGAGTGTAGTATTTTAAATCATTAATTTTATTCTGCACATTTAGTCTTTGCTGAAATGCAACAAACAATTGTACAATGAAATATTATCATTATACACTGTTTTAAGGTAAAAAGGGTCGAAATCGAAGTAATATTAATATAAATTTAAATTTTATACAAACTTTTACTCGCGTTTTTGTACACGTGACTATAATTG